GGTTTTTTTAATATTTCAACATTTTAGTAAGTACATAAATAACTCAATGGCATAGACACTCAAATAACATACAATAAGTAATTACTATTTTAAAATCAAATTAATAACCAAACTCAAGTATCATTGTGTGGTATTCGTGTATATTATATAGCCAACATTTTAATCAAAAAGCAATGATGTGGTTATTAATTAAGTGCGTCAGAACAAATGAATTAATATCTAAAGGTAAAGGTATAAGGCTAATGTTTTTACCATTTAAATATTTTTACAATTTTCAAATGATAAGAATAACTAAATATTTTTCGATTAAACCTTTAAAGTAGCGAAGAAGAATATTAGAGCCAAAAATATATTTTCTTGACATAATCTGAATGGAAGAATATATCTTTAAAATATATGAATGGGTTTACATATTCAATCGTAGGTCGGAGCTGATTTGACCGTATTCTTGAGAACTGTCGAGAAAACTTGGGAGATTTCTTGTACCAACTTTCAGCATAAAATATATTATTAAGATTGAATATTTACAGTCATTAACCTAGTATCTACCTTCCATCCTAGTATCTACCTTCGACGTTATTAATTTTGAAACTTTATATGTAGGTTGTATGTTAAATGTGGATTTTATATATAAAATTTCACAAAAATATTGCACATGAAAGATATTCAATTTTATATTAGTTTTGCATTTTTAGCTTAGCGTGTTGGATGCCAAGATGGCAGACTATTATAATAGATTTTAATATTTTCTATATTATAAATTTTAATGTATAATTCACTATTACATACTTATTATATACAGAGTAGGTACAGAGTAGGTTTGAAAGCTTATTTAGATTAAAGTATAGGTATTTACTATATCCAATCATATCAATTTATATAAATAATGGTATTAAAAATATATTTTATCAGTAGGTGATATGAATTAACGTCGTTGTTTAAGTTCTTTTTTATAAATCAGTATTGTAAAAAACTAATTGTGCAGCTGAATAATTTTAATTATTTCTTTTCATATTTTTGCACGACAAGGTTATACAATATTTATAAGTAAAGTCAAAAGGAATTCACGATCTAAGTGCTGACTGACATAATATTATCCAAATATTTTTTGTGATCTCAACATGTTTACTTACGCATCGCGTCGAGTGCGCTCGTCCCAAAACTTTTCCCAGAAGGTTGATCTATTTTTAATGCGAAGCACACTCGTGCTTAGGGTGCGAGGAAGCGTGCCACCGCTGCTACTTGCAGATACCCCAGTTGACATGCTGTGCTCCGATGCTGAGCTCTTGGCGATAAACGTGGCGCCGCCGCCGCTGGCGCCCAGCCTTTCTGACTGAGACCCCGAGCGCTGCATGTTAAGACACTACGACGATTCACACTACATGACAACACGTCACAGACGACGTAGACTTATCAGGGTAGCGTCATCGTCATCAATACGAGTTTTACGCCATCTACTAGGTATGTCTAGTGATATTTATGGCAGGTGGGTCAAGCGTGACTCTCGCTTGTAATTACGTAAGCGTTTTTCTCACAACCGACATGCACAGTTAACAATCTTTTAACACTACCAGCACATTGTTTTGTTACAAATATCAATCACACCTTTATGTTTAGATAGCTTTATCTCACTTAGATATCGTTATCAACAATAATATTGCAAGTGAAACTTGTGTTTTTATAACGTTCAACATCGAATATCACAAACAACACCGCGGTATCAATAAAACAATTTACATATACTTATAATGTAACATATATGTATATTATATCTTTTTAAAATCAAGGTAGTAGGTAACAAATGTAGGCCTCATCTTTGGCACCAATTAAGTATCTAGTGGTTTTAGCTCTATCGCGTTCAGTGGATTGGCCGATCGAGCAGCTAACCTGTCGGATCAGTGAACGACCTCGACACTGTCCAACCGACTTTATTTACTCTCGGGTAAATATCCACACGTAACATTTATTGAGAGAGACATCACATGTTTACGATCACTTTAATAGTGAAGAAGCACGCGTGTGGCTATATTAAGAACAGAACAGATTTGAGAGTCACATTTCGGGGTTTATAAAGCGAGGGTTTCAGTAGCAGAGGAGAATGAGTGCATCGCGTGTCGCTGGGTGAGTCGGCGGCGTGTCACCGTCAGCCCGCGCGGACTATCAATGGATAGGAGCGAAGCGGAGTGAGCGAGGCGCAGCGACGGGCGGCGTGGTGACGTCGTGTCCCGCTCGCTCGCCCGGCCGCCTCCGAGAGTGAGCGACTCCGCCCGAGGATAAATTTGGCGCTAATGGAAACTGGCGGCGGTGGGCGCCGGTAATCAATGTTAGACGTGGAAATCGAGGACCAGCATTATCAATGTCAAATACATGAAACGCAGTGATTCGGAAGACTGGTGGTTACTGACTGATGTGTAAAGCCATGTACGACAGATTAGACAGGTACAAACTCTATTTTATTGATTGCCGTTTTTTCATATTATGATTTTATGAAGAAGGTTACAGATCTGAAGCTTCTAGTGAAGATTTGGGGCTTTAAATATAAAAATTACGTAAAAATATTTGTCCCATTCTTGTGATTCAAAATTTTATTGAAAATAAATTCTCTGAAGTTTTATTCCAGTCAGTCAATTTATAGTAATGAATCATAAAATATGAAAACACCTACTTATTATAAAAGTTTAAAATTTTTCTTTTAACAAAAATATTTTTTATAAAAATTTTAGGATTGGTTTTTTAGTTGCTGTTATAAATAAACTTACGTTAGATAGAGCCAAGCAAAAGTTTAATTAATACATGGAAAAATGAACGCACTGCACGTGTGTCCTTTTTTATAAACTTACGAGAATGAGAAAATCTTAAATTTTTTATACTTAATTCGAACTTAATTAAACTTTACCTCATTAAATCTCTAATAAAAAAAAAGAGACCTCAGCTTTAAAAATTGCAAAGGAGTTTATTAATGTTTCTTCAAATACGTAATATCCTGTTTTTTCTAAAAATAAATGAATTTAAACAGTCTATTTAACAATTTATTTTATTTTCTAGTTTTTTAAATAACAAATTCGAAAAAGATGAAAAATATGACACTTAGTAAATAACGTTTTTATAAAGTAGAAACATAGTTTTTTTTTTCTTTTAGATAATTTATTAACTTATTTTTCAGTAATAATCTATGGAATATCATAAAATATTATTGTAATTATATTTCCCTGGCTTGTAAGCCTCTTGATAAATCGAGTCACGCAATAGTATAGGTACTATTCATGCATAAGTTACAACTAACACATTAAAATTACAAAGCATTGGACGTGTAATTATTATTGGACATTTTATTTGTTGGATCATAAATTTACTAGTCAGAAACAGACGAGGTACACAGGTAGCATACTAAAACAGAGTAAATTTTAAGTAAAGTATCAAGAATAGTCTAGCATTGTAATTAGTCATAGGTCGTCGACAGCAGAGACATAGTGTGCATTTAATGATAAAAAAAATAGGATTGCCATCATCTATTATAGACTAGCTATATCCCGTAGCTTTGCATACATGACGGAGTAATTAAAGTATCTTATGTATTAAGATACAATATAGGTTATCCGTTTACAAAATTTTATTTATATCCGTTCAGCTATTTAAGCATGATTAAGACACAAACATCTGTATAAACTTTCATATTTATAATATTAGTAATTTAGTGGGATTAGTAGGTTATTAAAAATAACATAATTATGGAGTTCATGCATTGTTACAAAATAATATTATTCGTAAAAGGCAGATTGTATAGATATATCTACATAATAAAACCGGTGAGTCCACAATGGTAATTTTTTTTATCGGAGTTTCTGTTATCATAAGATAGGTCAGAAATTGTCAGTAAGAATAAATTTCTTGAAATCCATAAGGACAGTAATGGGTTCAAGTTATGACCTTATATGTATATACAATAAAATAGTAGGAAAGTTGCATCAGTATGCGGATTTTTTTTGTAAATATAATCATTAAGCATATTTGTCCATATGGGAGTAAATTTCCTGTAAAAACTATTGGGTCCACTTTGATGAAATTTTATGTTCAAAAAATTATCCTACGGAAAAGTACATACAACATACATATTATAGATAATTCCTATTTTATGCGTTAGAAGTTAATTGAAAAAATATTGATTTTCATTGTCTGTTAATAACTGGATGTTAACATATAAAGTCATTATTAAACAACCACTTTTATTTAAATATTTTTTTAGGTAATCCTTGTAATTGTTTGGTCCCCAACGACAAAGTTTCTAGTGATTTTAGTGGCACGTATATCCTTCTAGCAGACTTCACTATAACATACAAAAGTTTATTTCGTAGCTTGGCTTGATCTACAATTTGGTCCGGGATTTCATTTACGTAAATAAACGGTTACAAACAAAAATCTCTACCTAAAAATAATAATTAAAAGCAGACATAATAATCTAAGCACTATAGCGTTAAAACTATAGTTAGTTTACCAACGAGAATCTACTCTATACATTCACTAAATTATATGATTTATTTGCCTTATAAATATTTTTATTAAACAAACATAAAAGTAGTCAAAGCCATTATTTTATTTTATGTATAACTGACCCCTAAAGCAAAATATTCTTTATAATAAATGGATCAAAATAATTTTAGAAAAGACATGAATGGATTATCTGGCCGTAGCACTACTATTATAATCTATGCATTGTAAGTAGATAATGAAGTTTTATAACTATTATACGTAAAGTAACTTTGTCGCCCGTGTATTATACCTTAGGTTTGACCTTTACACAAAATATACATAAAATTTAACTGTAACATTAATAATTTTATAAAAATATGTAAAAAAAGCACAATATCACATTAGTTATTAAGCATAGACGAAAAAGGAAGCTTTAGTACAAACAAATAAAGTTGAAGATAAAAACACAAGCAAAACAATTTAGATGGATGAAAAGGTATAAGTGTATACGTGCGAAAATAGACAATACATACGCTCTGTCCAGTTGTGCCGCCTCTGCCTCCTTGAATCTGTAAGCAATTAAACAATAAGGAAAAGAAAGAAAGAACACATACATAAATACATGGACATATAGTATTATGTCACCTAAGCAGATCAGCGATTACAATATGCGGGGTTGTAGCTCACACCATAAGATATTGTGCTATATGTGTACTGACAGCTCATGTAGTAGTGGCAATAGCATGAAGTGTGTATGTATCATGTTATTATATATATTCAGTAATCGTACATATTTTTGTGTTTTCTTTTTACAATTGAGATGGCAAACATGCACACAGGCCACCTGATGCTAAATTGTTGACGTAGCCTATTAACGTCTGCATTACCAGGAGGTATACGCGTGTTGTGCTGCCTTGAAGAAACCTCATTAACCCATTTTTAAAACCTTATGTTGTAGTTTCTTGGAAAAACCTCGTTAGGAAGCTTATTTCATAACCTGAGCGTATACGGGAGGAAGTATTTCTGAAATTGCATTTTACGCGACCATGCAGAATCTAAGGTAGCTCCCAGGTAGCGGCGAGCAGTACGATGGTAGAAAATGCATTCAATATTTTTTTAATATTGTTACTAGTTGTATTTGTGATATACTATGATATGTACTATGATGATATACTCCGATTCATAGATCAATAGACCAACGTAAAAAAATTGTGCCAATTTAAATTTCTGATTAACTATCCAATATTGGAAAACACCAATAACCACATTAATACGAGTGAGGGTGGTAGGCTCATCTCCTGCCACGTCGGATTCTAATGTATTTTGTTTACTACAACGATAACAATCTTCGAATTATCCCATTAGTGATTATAGTTGTGAGTACATTTATTTAATTTTGCAAGTTACGTGAATGGTTCACGTGTTTGAGGATGTGGTTGACTATAAACAGAACGAAAAATGATGTGCATGCTATTGCCATAATGATCGCTGTATTCAGGTGAGTAAGCTGACTACTGTACTGTTAGTTGTTCACAACATATATTTATTATACACGTAATATAAAATAATATAGCTTACTTTTTTGTGTCCGCAGCAGTTACCTTGCATTTAATTGAAGCGATTTAAGTATTAAAATAATGAGAGATATTTCCCACACAAATTCTTTGCATGGGAAGTTTCTGTAAACATTCGACTTCATTCAGTACGACTACAGTACATTCTAGGAAATAAATGTATAAATATCAACTGTAAATGGTTTTAATGGATTCGTATACGTAGAACTAGTAAAGACGTACGCGGTGACCGTATGAATGTTTACTATAAATTAAGTGTTGTATAAATTGTTTATTTTAAAACAAAGTTGAAATTCTCTTCAAACATAAGAGTTGGTAGGGAATAAAGAATTCAAAGTTATATGAGTGTTGTTGTCATTTGTGATGGTTATATCCAGCAAGATAGGCATGTCTATAATTAGTTCAGTACCTAAATACACGCAAATAAAAGGTGTTCCGAATAGTCTTCAAATTACTGTAATGTAGGATTAGGAATGTTTAAGTTGCGTGAACACATACAACATTAACGAGCTTTTGAACTGATTATTTTTGGTAGAAATGGCGTTTATCCTGATATTATGGTGGCTGCCGAAATGTGTGATGGAGAATGTAGATGATTATGGAATTGTTTCAATATTCCACGGTCGGCAATGCGCACGTGACATCTCAGGTGTTTACATGTGTTCATACCATTTACCATCAGATGGGCTATAGGTATGCTAATTTGGTACCAATATGATAAAATCTTCTTGACTAATATAATCGATAATATTGGATGCACAGTTATTATAATCACTGCTAAAATACAACCCAAGTGTTATTGTTTCATGACAGGCTCATAAACATTCCATTAGTTATTGGAATTAATTAGAATTAGACTAAAATTTCATAATCAGCATCATTTAAAATATTTACAGATAGCAGTAGCTGAATAATAATTATGAAATATACTTATAATTAAATTAAAAAGATATAGCATGAAAAGGTTATTATCTCCCGTTTGCTTACAAACTGATTGTAAAGAATAATAAAAGCATTTTAATCTTTCTGATTCGAAAAAATATGCCAGCAATAACCCAATACAATAACAATGGTAATTGTATTAGGAATACCAAACAGTTCTAACTAATACCTTATTTCCCGAATCGGTTATCATCATCATCATTATATCAGCCGTTAACTGACTCCTGTAAGGGATTGGTAATCTTTATAAATCTTTAATAAATTTCTCAGTACGAGTACGAATGATTTCAGTATTGAAGCATAAATAGAAAAACATGGTAATTATTTATTATTATTAAACAGAGAAAATATAACTAGAAATTTAAAATGATTTTATTTAACATATTTTGTACAGCGCCGTATAGCAAATGTATCTATATGTATTATATATAATTTTATATACGTATTTGATAGTAATATAAACATTCTATTATAATATTTATTCTCACTAAATACATTTTGCTAATAGAAGAGGTAAATTGAACGTTTTACGACAATCGGTGACTGTAAATTAATGCTTCTGACTATTTCATCTGGGATTACAGCTGAAAACATGTTTATAAAATTATTATAAATATATTGACTATTTTTATTAAATTTATAGCGAGAAGTTAAGGAAATATTCTTTATTTATAATAATGGGCTTTTTTACTTAAGGCGTTTAAGTATTCATGAAGGGTTTATAGGGTGAGGTTGGTTACATTCGCCACTCAGCAGTCTTTCAAAATTCACCGAACCTAAAAGATATTTAAGAGTCAGTTTAGAAGGTCAGGGGGACTTTGCATATAAGTCGTTTAAATGAGCACTTTCGTACCTCTTGTGTTTCTACCGCAAAGCGCTCGTGCTTATATGGATGTATTTCGACAGTGTAATTACTGGGTATGATACTCAAATTCTCAGGAATTACAATAGATGAGGGGTGGAATAAGTATTTTAATTACCATGTACCCGTTTATGTATTTACATACATATATTGGACATTGCATAAATTTTGCACCAGATGGATAATTAATTTATTACCATTACAAGTCGTAAGTATGTACAAAAACTGTTATTTAATCTTCTTATAAGTTTTTTAAAATATTTTAATTAGTTCAGTGTTTTTTATTGTTAAATATAAAAAAAATAGACTCATTATCATGAGGGGGGGGGGGGCTTAGTAGTTGCCACGCTTAGCAGACGGGTTTAGCAGCCGCAGTTGTAACGATTATTGTTATCTTAGTCATCTCTTACGATACCCACGGTAATATAAGGAATTATCTTGTATAACCTTATACAATCATGTATTTATATCTATTATATACATATATTAACCCCACCATAGATATTATTAAATATGACACATATAAAATTTATGTGTAGATGTATAAAAGTTTCAAAAGACAACATAAGCCTATTATGAATTAAATTACTCCAAATCTAAAATTATAAATCTATATTTTTTGGAGAGTATAGCTAAGAGTATAATATATTGTAATCCCATTGTGTTAATTAAGCATCTCTTATGGTACAAAACGCAAGGGAGTTGCAATAGATCGCTGATAGCCGCACAGCCATCAAGTTAATTGGTAAGTTAATAGCTTTATATAAGTTGTGAAAGAAATACATTTTCCTTAACTAAAGCTTTTATATGAGTTAGCTCAATGAAGTAAGTAAATATTCATGTAAGTATAACCATCGCCGCGGGGCGTTTTATTTGTAATCCCCTCAACGTCCACGACGTTATTGTATTGGGAAATAAAATAATATCAAATATTGACTATAAGGCAAACCCTTATGGAATTTCGGCAAGTAGTCACCGAATATTACCGGAGGCTTTCACTGCTGACGCAAATATGACGACCAAGTAATGAAAAATAACTAAATTATAAATATATAGATCATGAAAATTTTTTTTAACTTTTTCGCAACTGTAGCGTATTTGGAACTGTTACTAGTAAAATATAATATTTACAGCAATGTCTATATAAACTATTATCTCTAAAAGGGGATAATTTTCCAAAAATATAAAAATATAGATTGAAAATATTAAAAATTTTGAAATTTCCCATGTTAACTTGTTTGATTTACGCGGCGTATTAGTATGGGGCGTTAAAATTTTTGTCTTAATTAACTAAAATAACGTTTTTCTAAAAACCAATATTCAGTGTTTTTGGCTAAACATTTAATTATTAATTACTAGCAACCTATTCTGGCTTTGCATGGTATTTATATAAGATGTAATCTATGTTACTCACTGATAATGTGGCTTTCTATAGATGAAAGAGTTTTTAAAATCTGTTAAGCATTTTTAGTATTCAGACTATAAATCAAATTTTCTTTCTATATAATATGATTTTAAATATAGATTTTATTTGGTAAGAACTCTTGTGCAAATATTCCCGTTTCTAGACCTAGGTTAGGTTGCGCGGTGTATGTCAGTTAGCCAGTGTATTTTTTTTTAATGTAGAAAAAGGAAATTGAGATTAATCAAAATATGACAGACGAATTATTTAGTGTGGTTACAGCGTTATGTTCTCTGATGATGGTTTAGTTTAGAATGTGCTGAATTCAGATTAGTTAACTGTGGTTGAAATACTCAGTTAATTTTAGTAATGTGCTATAATAGAAATGTATAAAGCAAAACTGTTAGTAGTTATTTGGTTTATGATTTTATGTAGTTTAGGCATTGTAATGAGGACGATAGTACGTTTAGGTTTGTGTAATCTTTTTATATTTTTAGTAATATAGAATTACAAATAAAAATTTAAACAGAGAATATGCTGCCATGATAATGCGTGCATTTTGCTTGATATTGTTTCAAGAGCATATTTCAATAACGCGATTGAACAGATCGTTCTCAATTGCAAAGTTTTAATTTAAATATAACACAAAAAAATATATCCTCGATTAGGAATATAAAAAAATTAACGCAGTCTAAAATTATAAACATTATTTCCATGTGCACCTGTACAGTATCTGTATAAAATATGTTCGGAACGTGTATGTATATACAGGGTTTATCGGAAACGGTAGTACCATCCCGGCATAATAGGTCATAAAACTGAACAACTTTTCTCGCGTGAATTGGGATAACGATACCCACTTATTACTTATGTGGTAATCAAGGATAGGTATGTGTATACAAAAATACTTAAATCCTTTCAATCTATCGGCATGTGGGCGTGGCTATCAAACATGTTAACAACCAAACAACTTAACAAATTACAATTTTGATTTTTAGCCACAGATTTTGATAATGAAGAAAGTTTTACAATAACTGGATTCATTTACGTGTACTTCAGTCGAGAAATTCGTTCTGTTAAAATATAATGTGTACTAACTTTTAACAATAAAAAAGTTGTTCAGTTTCAGGTATACATATAATCAATGATTTTTAGATTACGTATTCTTTTCCACAACTATCCTGTATATATTTAAAAAATACGAAATGAAATAATGTTTTCTTATGTGTTATTATATTTTGTATTATATATTGTAGTATATTTTGTATGCCATATATATTTATCAATAATAGTGTATGTTATGTACTTAATATTAATAGCTATATTACGAGCCATGTAAATAGAATGTTGTTCCCAAATATCGCTTCGCATGTTATTGACATTGTACTCGTAAATAAAAATGTTATATACTTGAATTAAATATTATGTTTTTTTTTTCGTTAATAAATATATTTAATAGAAAATACATTTTGTTGAATTGTATTGCGGAATAAATTGATAAGATGATGTTGGTAGTGACGTAAGTTTCAACTGATTGAAAACTTACATACTCGTACAATTGACTTCTAACTGACTGATATTAACAGATAAATTACTATATAAAAATAATCTTATATACTAAATAACAAAGTAAATTAAAATAGAAATAGTGGAACATATTGAATCTAGATCGTGCAGTGCTGTTATTAAGAGGTTTAATAATCGTTAAATTGCAATTATTAACTCTCTTAAAAAACACATTATTTCCTTACTACCCTGCATGCACTTACATAGATATAACTCCATAGATGTTTTGTTGAAATTGAAATACATAAATTTATTTTTACATAAAACAAAAAAATTGTATATGTTTTCGATATCATAATAGATTGTAATAATTGTATTTTACTTTATATTAAGTACTTAATACTTAATATATTTTAGAATTGTGTATATATTTTTAATTTTTTTTTCAACAATAATTAGAATTAGAATAGGTTCATACGATTTAATGTATACTATAGCAACGATATGTAGATATATGATTAATCTAATGAAAAGTAAAAAAATATAAAGTGAATACGCTAAAACGTATAACGGAACCATAAACTGTTTATCTTTAATTTGAACAATAAAAATGTGAACAGTCATTTACATTTAATTATTTAAATCAATAATATTTTGTTTATGACCTCAAATATGTAGATTGATTCACAATAAAAATATAGGCAAGTGAATACCATCAATATTTACAAACAGAAACAGGAAAAATAAATAAACCCACCTTTGCAGGATTATATATATACTTATATTACCAGAGTGGTAACATAGCAACATGGAAGCTGTCTTCGCAAATGTCAAGAACATGCGAATACCAGCGTCATAAGCACAATGACGCAGGGAACAGGTAATAATTTACAGTGTTGGTCTGACTCACGGTAACCGTAACCAGGTAATTATACCAAGATGTGACAGGTAAATTATAGAAAGGTATTTACAGTAAAATTGACATTTAAATTATTAGGTTGAAAAATTGTACCTTCCTTTTTATTAACTTAATAATGTAGGATTCTCGAAAGCAAGGTTACCCACATTAAAATATTTTAAACTAATATTTGCCACAAAAAAATGGCACGAATTGTTTATAATTACTCATATTGGATCTAATAGTATTAATTAATGCTACAATATTTTATCATTGTAAGTATTACATAATATTTGAATATTTATCGTTAACTTTTATAACGGGTAGTTTGCAATTGATGCTGTCTAGTCCATTTCAGAAAATCTTTGATTAATTTTCATTTATTACCTTTTTAGACAAATTAGTATTTTTTAATAAAGGGATAATTAAGTTTATATATACGGTTATATTTACCTTTAAGGAATATAATGAGTAATGCATAAATGATAATATAACTTTGGTGAATAGCTAATAATTTGAATTTATATAAATTTATTGTAGTAATGGTAAATAAGTGGTATGTACATAAGTAAGTAGTGCATTTTAAGTTTTACTAATATTATAAATGTGAAAGTGAGTTTGTTTGTTACGTTATATTGTCTTAACATCTTAACCAATCACTAAGAACTTTGGAATATAAATATGGATTGAAGAATGATATATGGGCTACTTTTTATCCCGGTCAGTGAACGTACCCTGGCTCGCGGATGAAATCGCGAGTAAATGCTAGTAATTGTATAAATTCAATTATGAGTCATTAAAAACAATTTATTTTATTTACAGTTTGGAAACTTGGCTCAACTACCTGTTTAAGGTTACCGCAATTCATTTGTATTTAGGATTAAGACACACTTACCTTTCACTGGCAATCGAACTGTTTCTTGACATAGACTTGGGCGACATCTCGAAGTCGGAGTCTGAGCGGTATAGGAAAGACTCGCGGCGCTGCGGCATGGCTTGAAGGACGAGCGCGGTTGACGGCGAGCCGCCCTCGAGGGGCGAGCGTGCGCCCCCCGCGCCGCCGCCCGCGCCTCCACCATTTTCCACATCGAAGCTGCAACAATAATAAAACAGAATTAATCAGAGAACAAATGCTTTGAATCTTTCATTCCTTTTATAATATAAAAAGAAAAAAAAAATGCTATAAAGAAAGAAAATGCGGGCATCTCCGTAGACATCCATCAGTGACTTTGTTTTTATTCGTTTATTTAAAAAAAAAAAAATTAAGTAGATGCTCATAATGGTTGGCATTGGGAAGAATTTGAAAGTTGTCTGTTAAATAACAATTGTACCTTCTCTACTCGTTTTATTTTTATATGTATTACAGAATGTACATAGTACTAACACTACCTATCACCGTACGCCACCTATATTATAATACTATCTGTGTTAATATTAAGGATAATGAATAGGATAATTGTTCTTTTGCAGTGATAAAAGTCAACAATATTATAAAATTTTAATATATATTTATTAAAAATTTTACTTTAATACATAATACAATATTAGTCACATAGAGATAATAATTTATATGTAAAAATGTAGTATTGTGTTATTGCAGAACAATATTTCTAGACAACATTAAAATTTCGATAAAAAAGCTACTGAATAAAAGATTGTTAAAAAGTAAGTAAATATTTTAAGAAAATATAATAATATTATATTACAGTTACAACATAATATTTATATTTTAGAAAAATATTTACGATATAAAATTTATATATGGTAATTTTGACATGTATGGTAAGTAATAAATTCTTCATGGGATGAGTTCGATGATGATAGCTTTTATAATATTTAATATCGCTGTTATTACTTTTCTTATCTACGATATATCTATATTGTTTAGAAAATAGATATATTGTAAATTTTGGATAGATGTTTACATCCTTGCCATTTTAATAAAAGCACATAAATATTTATAATATTTATTACTTTATACAGTGTAATACGTTTTATTCTAAATAAAACTCGTTGCTTTGTTCTCATCAATTAGAATAAATGTATCCTATAATCTTTTAATTTAGGATATGATTCATCTGTGTACAATGTGTCTCTTGATAATATAGTCCTGCATATACATATTATATAGATACATATAGTACATTTTTTATGTTTCTTACCTCATAAATCTATTAGTTATAAACCGATTCGGAAAATTATTTATAAAGAATATACTTACAGATTGGTCATACAGAAATTTTATAAAAGTCGATTTCTAAAGTTCAATTTTTAAATTAAAATACAATCTAAAGTTATTATTAAATATAATAATATATAAAAATTTTCGACACATAATTTATGATTAGTATAGGTACCCTAATAGTATTAAACTCAAACTGTTTCTAGCCGTAAACATAAATGGAAAAAATAAACCTGTAAAAATACCTGTCTGTAAAAATAGATATTGTGTCATTTATAATCTGATCATAGGTTATGATAAAGTTTGATCTTATCCGCTAATCCATTTATAGTTAGGCTATATTTAGATCACCAGGTATTAACTTTATAATACTACCATAATATAATACGTAAGTTTACCGTGACTGATAAGTAGTAAATAAGTTCATTAATGTGATTATAGAACCGAATACTGACTCTGTATTATTTCAATAAAACGATTTGTGTATTATTTTTGGTAAAGTTATAATCTTAGGGAGATGTCAAAAGTCTTTGAAACCAGCGTGCTACCGTGTATGCACAGAAGTATGTAAAGATGATCATTAATAAATAAAAGATAGATTCGATTCACGGTAGGGTTAATTTAGGAAATTTTGAATAGGTTCGAGTCTGTCTGTTCTGTAGAATACTCTGTTATTACGAAACTAATAACAGAGTATTCTAGCTTAAGGACCAAGTGATTGGTGTAATTGTATCGCACTTAATATAATATGTATAATATAAAAAAGGATTTGCCAGATAGACCTTGCGCCGAGGTATGAACAGTATTGACATCTATTTTTTTAAACCACAAAGGTGGCATAAAAACAACATTTATAAATATATCGTACCGCCAATGGAACCCTCATAGTGTCGTTACTTCTGAGGAATAATGTTGTTCATAGTTTTAGCTCACTAAAGTTTGTCAAAGTCGCAATTATCTGTCATTTTCTAAAATAATTATAAATTGTAAATGTTTCTTACTGGTTATTCAAATAGTTATCTACTAGTGAAATGAAACGTTAATTTTACATATATTTTTAATAAGGTATCACTGAAAATTTGGATTATGATGGCAAAAATACGAATATATTTTAAAATTTTTTAGTGATAGATAAGATAGATTAAGTTTTTAGTGATAGATTTATATGTGGCGTAACGTTTTAGTATCCTATTAGAACCTTTTTAAATTAATCAGTTACATACATTGAAAATTGTTAAAAATAAAAATACGCTTTATTCTTAAATGATTAAAATTTATAAGCTGGAAATGAGAAAATTTATATATAATTGATTAATTATGTAGTATACAGGTACTACACTCGCACAGTATAGTACTGTAGGTATTTTACCATATTCATTAAATTACTAAATTTGTATATAATTAATTATCGTTTCTTTCAGCTTAAACTTGATGATTTCCCTAATATTGACGATATCAAATATCAGAGGTGCTCTTGAGTCTTGATAAGTTATAACAGGGTTACAAAAACAATATATTTGTAAATGGTAAAAAAGAAATAAATCTGTTATTAAAATGCTAGAGAATCTATAAATAAATTATATTTGTTATAAAATATATAAATGAGCACTTTTTACTTGTGCATTGTATAGAAATATTGTACTATAAAATTTAAAGCTAGTGAAACACATATGATCATATATGTATATTTGTTAGTAGTAGCTAAGGAGAATATATTCTAGTATTTCAATAGGTTACCTATTATTTGCTACATACTTAAAAATTACATACATTTTGACTTATATGACATTTTATTCCAGTAACAGATTTATGGGTGATACAAAAAATGAAGTACAGTATAATGTTCTCCCTATTACTATTGTTTGTCGGTGCACATGAGGATTAGAATCTAAAAAAAAGTATTTTACATTTTATTTTGATTACGTCTTATCAATTAACGACACAAATTATAAGCATTCACTTATGTAAGTTCTTGTCGTTATTAAGATATATGTGTATAACACAATTTTATATAAATCTAAAATATTTTTATTTTCACATTTTCTACAGAGGTTCAACTACAATGGTATTATATTATCCTGCACTGCATTGGTATAGAATAAAATTTATACAAAGATGATGTAAATAAAAGGTAATCTATAAAGGGCTTAAACATACATTTTCTTTTAGAGATCGGCGAGGTTTTGTCTGAGTGCCATATTCCAAGAAAGCATTTCCTCTTTGGATTGCATAAAAATTCACTCGATATTTTCCAGTAAGTATATAACTAAAATATAAAAAAATAAAAGTGATTACCTTACGACTACTGTCATTGTTTTTATCGCTATTTTATCTGCTAGATAAAATAGTAATGTCTAAGTAAGTCTCACTAAATATTGGTCTTCATTAATTCACAAAGTAAACAGTGATATTTTCACGTATTACATATTTTAAATATTGAAGTAATTATAAATATTTTTTTTCAACAAGCGTACACAGCCGCTATGTTTCACGACGCGTTAGTATTTGGCAAGTGATAATTTTTATCACTGGCATGAGAATTTGTAATACGTAGAGATAATAGTGATTATAACATCTAAACAAAATATCTATTGTAATTATATTTATATGTACGATAATGTAATTATAACAAGACTTGCAAAATATATTATTACTGTCATTATACGATTACGACCATTTCACAATAATGAAATTGTAATAATATATCATAACTTCGCAAGCGCTTATCAGTGTAAATTTTTTGTTTAATTTTACACTTATTTATAGCTATAAGTAATATGCATAATTATAATGTAAAATATTATAATGTAAAATTTGCTTTGTGGATCTGGCATAGAATGGGCCACCCCTCCCTATCCCGTGAATGATGTAAGAGGCGATTAAGGGAACTTAATGATCGAGGGATGAGCAGCAACATTCCTTTTAAAATGCCTCCAAAGTCTAACTACAATTGTCAACCCGCTTGCCAAACGTGGCAACTAAGGGCAAAAACCTCCAATAAGGAGAGACCTATGTTCAGCAGTGGACAGTTAACTGGTGATATGATGTTGACGATTACTTTTTGATATACTCGTACATTCCTTTTAGAGCTCAATACGTTGTTATATTAATTTTTGCTTTCGTAAATTATGAATTTTCTATACAAAATATTTATTAATTCAATATAAATATTTCTGCACAAATAAAGGTTGTCTTCGAAAAACATTAATGCTGTATTCAGTCCTCTATAATAGAGAATTCAAATACCAATTTTGATGTCCCCAACTCAATAAGTTACGGATTTACTTATAAACTTTCATCCTCTATCCCCTTTGGAGTAAAATTTCCAGAAGTCTCTTCCTATTGCTTGACGACATCGCAGGGAATCACTTTTCCAAGTATCTCCTTTCTATCTTCAATAGTTTTGACTCGGTAGTAAGTTAGTCAATAATCAAATTTATGAACGTCTCTATAATACTAAACTTTAATAATACAGTATCTAAATACTTAGTTTTTCTATAGTAATAGTTAGTATAGATAACTAGAACCTAATGATAGTACATTTTATGTTTAACTACAGAAAATCATATTATTTTAAAATCCTTAAAATTAGGTACTATTAAAGTATTATTAGGTTATTTATATTAATTTTATACCTTATTATATTAATATTATTAAAATATTATTTATATTTTTTATAATACTCCAAAATGGCAGCAGACCGCCCATGTGATGGAAAGTGGTAACCGTCGCCTATAGACATAAACAGCGCCACGAACATCGCAAAATACATTGCAATGCCGATTGATAGCAAAAAAGTCTCCTTAAACTTTACACAATGATATTCATAGTATATTATTAATATTTGTATGAAAATCCCAGGTTCTTCTTGCCTTTATACAGTTTTGTATGAAAATGTAATTTTCATTGTT